AACCAGCTATCCCTCTCTCGCTAACGATAACAGTGAATGTACCTGCGCGCAATTGCATGACGCGGTTCGTAGGTCGTTCGCGTTAGAATATATTGGTGTAGGTTCGAAGCCGCGCCGCAACCCAGATGAAATACGCGCTTTACAAATTTTGGATGATAGTGCAGAATTAGTAAATGGACAATGGACTGTCGGCTTACCGTGGAAATACGATGAGTTGCATTTTCCTGACTCTTACCCTAACGCTTTTAATCGGTTAAAGTCAATAGAAAGAAAATTTCATCAAAACAAAGAGTACGCGACTCGTTACTGTGAAAGAATGAGATACTTATTTTCCAATGGTTATGCTAGAGAACTTAATGAGACCGATGAAAACTTTAATAAACGCATAATATGGTATTTGCCGCACTTTGGTGTAGATAACCCAAATAAGAAAAAAATGCGCTTAGTTTATGACGCGGCAGCAAAGTCGAACGGTTATTCTTTAAATAATTTTCTTTTACAAGGCCCTGATTTGTTACAGTCGTTATTAGGAATAATGTTAAGATTTAGAGAAAACCGTATAGGCATCATAGGGGATATAAAAATTATTTTTTAAGGATCAATATACGAAAAGAAGATGTTAATTCGTTGCGTTTTTTTTTTGTGGAAAGATATTTATTTACGTAATAAAAATGAACAATTAGGCTTCGAAAGTAATAACAAAGGGTCGAAATCACCTATGCTACATTCTGTTAAGAAATATGTTAGGACGTCACTGATTTTTGTGCTAATTGCTCCCCATTTATAGCCCAATATATAAATCAAAATAAAAACACGTTGCGCTTTCAGAATAAAATGCCAGACGCAGTTAATGCTATTAAAAAAAATCAATATATAGACGATTTTATCGATAGTTTACCAGACGTCGCTACTGCTACAAAAATGATAAAAGATGTTTATATATTAACCAGCAAGGTGGTTTTGTAATGCGTAACTGGTTAAGTAACAAGTCAGAGGTTCTTAATGACATGCCAGAAAAGACTTTAAATGACATGGCGATAAGGTTTAATGTCGAATCTCAGCCTGAACGAACGCTTGGGCTTTTGTGGTTTCCCGCGAGTAATATGTTCGGGTTCTATCTTTCGTTAAAACGTATACCGGATGATATTTTACAACTATCACGAAAATCGACTAAACGTGAAGTTCTACGCATTATAATGTCTGTATATGATATTCATGGTTTTTTATCACCTTTTACGATAAAATCCAAAATATTAATGCGTTAGATATGGAATATAGCAATAGCAGATTGTCTATTTACTTTATTTAAAGATTGTATTTCACAATTAAAAGCTATTTGACGACGACTCGGTCGGTGTGAACGAGAATCGCGCTGAACGAGAGTCGCGCTGTAAACAAAAATGAGACGTCGTTGCAGTTGCGTATATTTTGTGATGCGTCTCCATGCGCCTATGCATGTGTTGCATATTGGCGTAAACATGACAACAACGGCGTGCAGGTGTCATTCATTGCGAGTAAAAGTCGCGTCGCGCCGATAAAACCGATAACTATGCCTAAACTCGAACTTCAAGGCGCGTTATTAGCATGTCGCTCGGCAGCGACAATAAAAAAAGAGCATAGGATTAAACCATCGCGTTTTTTTTTTAATTAATTAGACTTACCCATGTTTCGGTGGACCCTCAAGAAAGAGGCATTAACTCCAAATCATTTTTTACTAGTATCTTCTTCGAACTTACTTGTACCCGGTGTCTTCGACGATGGAGACATGTATCTTAGACGACAGTGGCGTATTGCCCAACGGTTGACAGACTTATTTTGGAGCAGATGGGTAAAAGAGTTTTTGCCAGAGCTAATTCCTCGTCGTAAATGAGATAGGGAAAGTCCGCAATTAAAAGTAGGGGATCTTATTGTAATAGTCAATCCATCATTATTTCGTAACTGTTGGCCAATGAGTGTTATTGAAAAGGTGTATCCAGGTTCAGACGGCAGGTTAGAGTATTTGACGTTAGGACTAAGTCAGGGGTGATGAAGCGATCAGCTGCTCGCGTGGCCTTTCTCCAGCTTGGTAAGGAGTGTCGGCGAACCGACACTTGAGGGGAGGATGTTAACGACGCTCATGTTGCTTCTCGGATATCTGAAATATAAATAATATTAGTTAATAAAACATAGTATATTTAAAATATATACACATAAGAAATTTTTACTTACATTTTGTACTTGTTGTTTTTCAATAATAAATAAGTAAGTGTGCATACGGGGACGGTGGCACTTACCGCGATTTTTATTGTAGGATGTAGGTATATTTTGCAACATCGGTGTTGCACCGCGGAGTTCATGATCCCGAGCTTAGTCAGTTGCACTAGAACAGAACATCATAAGGGGTGACACCTATGTCTCCCTCCCCGCGGATGTACACGCGCTCACCAAATTTTTTTAGTTTATTTTACTCCCAGACGACACCAGTGGCCTACATCACCAACATCCGGGTTATGTATTTTGCCCCGCAGTAATTTCACTACATACGTAGCAAGAGCAAATACTCGACGTACTTATAATTTATTATATCCAACCATGTCCAGTTCTAAAATTGTAGGATACATCAACGGATAAAATGGAAATAACCCGTAAAGCTTAAAGTACAAGTTCCTCCCAAATTTGTTTTGAACATGCTCCAAGATAATCTTATACTTTTCTTCATACGGACTCCCGACTAGTGCGTCATACAGGGCTCTCAATGCAGTCATGTTGGTAAAACCTCGTGTCTGTCTCAGTACAAAACCGAGGTTCCGGTACGCCTTTTTACAAATATTAGTGATGTGATCGCGAAACGACGATTCTGCGGTAAAGAAAACGCCAAGGTCACGTACTTACACTTACACGTACGTATCAGCCAGTGTTATACCGTAATCCCAGCTGGTGGTAAGTGGTGATGTAGACCTAGATGGTAAATCGCACTGTCTTAGCGTAACAAAAGCCTATTCACTCTTGCTTTGAAGACGCCCAGATTGTATTCGGACGAAAAAATAGACGCCGGCAGTTTATTCCACTCCTTTGTTGTACGTATTACAAAAGAATAAGCAAACCATTTGGTTCTAATGTATGGAATATCGACGACAAAGGGGTGAAGACCCGCCGACCGCCTGTTTGTTCGTTGTTCTTCTGCACCGTGGAAGCGTTTTTATTTATACAATAATTAATTTCATCTATCAAAAGCCTATCAAAAGTCCACTATTTACATAGCCCTCTCAAATTTATAGCCACATAGAGGGGATTTCGACAAATGTGCCACGCTTGGCAGAAAGGTAATTTGTGCATGCCTTAATCACTCATGTTATACGTCAATTTTTTTAAGTATTTTAAATACACACAAGTTTTCACAAATAACCTTATTACAATCACTTCTAATTTTCCGATAATTTTATGTCAGTCAACAAAAAAGTTTGGAAAGTCTATAAAAGTGCACGATTCCTATTGCTTATATGATCGTGAAAAAATGTAGACAAAAATCCTCGATCAACAATAGAAAATATTTTTTTTAAGTTTTACTATGTTATTATTATTGAGATTCAATATTTTATTATTGTTAATTAAAAAAACTGTTAGGAGAATTGTCTTAAAATGATCAGAAATCAACTTTAATATTACTTTAAATTTACTGTGCACTCGGGCATTAACGTAAAATCTACCTAGTATTTTTTACCTGACTCGTAGTTTTTTTTCTCATCGACTTTATTTTGTTTTCAAAAAGTTTTTTATCTAGTCATAACCAGTATTTTAATTTAGGATTTATAACCCTTAAAAACACAGGACCTAGTTCTACTTTTCGGGAATTCCAGTAGCAGATACCGTAGTACACCTTCAGGTCACTCCATAAAGTCCAAAACGTAAAACTATATTTATATAAATCCTACGAACTTTTAGCGAAACCATATTTTGTAATGAAAATCTATGATTACAATAATAATAATAATATCTTACCTTGGTCAAGTATGTAGGTATCAAATTTGGTTTTTGGAATATTTTGTATTTCTACAGCGAGCGATATTTTTTTATCACGAGCCGCTATAAACAAAAGATACAGTAAACCTAAAACCACTAAGTAAAACCACTCACGATGGTGGCCGATCCCGGACCCGGAGTGAGTGGAACACCCGTTTACATTTGATCAATTCCCACGTGATAGGTAAAAAGATTAAAAAATAGATCGAGTTGAACAATTGATATTTTCAAAAGTTATCTGGCGCCAAGTCGAGCAAAAAAGCGGCACGGCCGTACCATGCTTTTCTCGAAGCAGTTCAGGCCATTTTCGACCCCCCTATAGCTGCGTTGTGGATAAAACTGGAAGCCTTGACTTGGTAATTGCACTAAACAATCTAATTTAATACAATATGTATTACAAGTGAGACACATTGTGTTTTTATGCAATGGCCCAAGTCAATCTATTTATTTAAATCATAAAAGATTTTTAATATTGATATGGCCACAATAAGATGTTGTTAGGTTAGCTAATTACGTAATAACTTAAGACAGAAGGACCTTTAAGTAGGGACTGAATAAATTAATCGACTTGGTATTACATGGATCTCACAACTTTTTACGGTAGAAGAACTGAGTTGCGAGACTTGGTTTTTTACAAGTTATATATTTGACGGCATCGTGTTTACACCTCCATGCGTACTTGATAAATCTAAACATAATTTAATAAAAAATATAAGTTCAACAATCCTTTATCTTTCTGACAATGTGCTTTTTATATCATTTATATGTTTAATATGATTGTTAGATACGATTTCATGCGACAAAACGTTGGATTCTTGATTTTTAGGTGCTAGTGGAACATACCTTCGCCCTTTGCGCTTAAGGCATGCAATCATAATATAAAATAAAATAAACATTCTTGTATATGTGCGTGTAAAATCTTAGGACCAAGGGTGCTTCACAAAGTTTCGTTGTTACATTACGTCAGTAGATTTTTTAAAGTCCATGGTTTTTTCTCACAGAACCTGGCCGTGATAAACTGCCCCACGCTATACATGACCTTCAAGAATGCATCGATTCCCCCCGAAATGGAACAGCACCACGACTCATTAGAACAGTTTGGACAATATGTGTCTGCTCTGAAGCGAGATCCATACCTAACGTACACAACATATGATTTATATTACAGTCAGGTAATACATTTTTAAATAAACTTACTAAATCTACACGTATAGTTAAAATTGAAGTTGGTAATATTGAAATCACTGGCTTTTGTTAAGCTCAAGGGGTTATTTGCATGCATGCCAGACATACACAACCATTTCTTTTGAATTCTGTTTGACTGTCCATGCTAATCTTCAGAATGGCGGATCCGAAGAACCGTGGTGAAACTTTATAAACAGATCTCTATCTGTATCGCATCGGAGAGCACAGCCAGGAGGTTATTTTATCCAAATAACTTGGATAAATTAATAAAATAAACGGTTTTTGTTTATCTTAAACCTAATTAACACCACAATAATATATCTTACTTTTTTGGAGCAAGGGTAGGTCGCTAGTAATAAATAAGAACGTTATGGAAAAAAAAAACAAATCCATTCGTTACTTACATTCATTTATCTTTCTGATAAGGTGTTTTTATATCATTTATATGTTCAATATGATTGTTAGATACGATTTCATGCGACAAAATGTTGGATTCTTGATTTTTAGGCGCTAATAGAACATACGTAAGCGCTTTGCGCTTAAGGCATACAATAAAATTGATTTGTATGTCTGTAATATGGAAAAAACTGCCTACTTCTAAGCTCATTCGGATGCTTGAATGTTATTAAGACATGAATAACAATTTTAAAATTATTTTCTGTTTGTCTATCTGCTAATATTTTGAATGGCTGAACCAATTGCTATGAAACTTTACAAACAGATATGTAGCAATGCCAGAAGGGATCTAGACAATTTTTTTCGAACTACTCATAAACGTAGTGTGTTGAAAATAATTGGATATTATGACACTTTAATCAATTTAATTTTTATATATAATAAGGATCATAAGCGAGCATACAGTCCACCGGATTATAATCAATCCAACGTCTACCCTTCAATACGAATTAAAATGCAGTTGTTTTGTCAATTCCGTGGGCTAAGTGATATTTTACGTAGTAGCGCTATAATGCAGCTATAGTTGTAGCTGTATAGGGACTCAAGTGCTTGTGTTAGGATCAACGGGGCCGAGTCGGACTAGTTTGGCATCCATAAAGGTGTGTGGATTCCGCGTGACTGTTCAACCTATTTATGGACAGTTGTTTAGAAAATTTTAAAGTTGAAGAATGCATATTAAGAATGGGTGAGTTAACCATCAAATGCCTTTTGAACGTCGATGATCAAGTCATATTTTCGTCGTCGGCGGTCAAGTTGCAAATGATGGTTACATTAATGAACAGGTCGTTAAAAGAAAGGGGAATGAAAGTGATGCAAGTAAGATGAAAGTTATGGTTTTTGAAATAGAAGAAAGTAAAACGATATATAAAATAAGAATAGAAGGGGAGATGGTAGAGGAAGTAGATGAATTTGTATATTTTGGATGTGTATTCAGCAGGGATGGGAGATATGATAAGGATATATAATGACGAGTGAACGCAGGAAATAAAGTAAATGGGGCTCTATACTCTATTGTGAAAAGTCAGAATGTGTCAAAAATGCACGTATGGCAATTCACAATGCTGTATTAGTCCCTACTTCTACGTATGGTAGTAAAAGTTGGGTGTGGCAGAAGAAGCACGAGAGTAGAATAAATACAGTAGACATGCGGTCACTTACGAGTATGTTAGGGCTGAATCTGAGTGACAGGGTGAGAAACTGTGTGATAAAAGAAGAGTGTTGTTTGCAAGATGATGCTGTGACCAGTATTAAGAAAGGAATATTTCGGTGGTTTGGTCATGTAGAAAGAGTGAATAAGGAAAGACTGACAAAGCAAATATATGTTGCAGAAGTGAATGGAAGAGTCGGAAAGAGACACCCTAGGCGAAAGTTTGTCGATCAAATTGGCGATATATTAAAAATGGGCCAAATTAAGCGTACCCTTAACCGACAAGCATGCATGCATAGTTATATGCATGTGGAGGAAGCGAGAGAGGTATGTCGGGATCGTGCCAAATGGAAGTTTGTAGTCTCTGCCTACTCCTCTGGGTGACAGGCGTGAGTGTTTATGGGAGTTTTATCAATAACGGGTTGGCTCAACCGCGGAAGAACCTCATACATAATATCAACATAAATATCAGCTTAATACTGCAGTGTTTTATGTGGTAAGTGTGGAGAACCGGAGACCCATTTTACTGGAAACGAGGCATTCCATCTCAGTCCTCAGGGGTGACAACGCACCAGTATTTCGATTCTTAATTTTCACCCAAACCTTTTAGATTACAAATCCACTCTTATCCTTGCAATCGACAAGTCAATACCAAGAATAAATCATGTAGTGTCTCATTAATTGAAAGAGTTATAAAATATCTATGAATAAGAATTGATGATAAGCTCAACTGGAAACAGCACATAACATCTGTTGCTAATAGACTCAGGAAATTAGTTTATGTGTTTAGAGAATTGCGCACTGTGTCAAAACATACACTTTTAATACAAATTTATAAAGCACTTGCGGAATGTTTAATTACTTATTGTAATGTTCGTGGGGGGCAGCAGCTAAAACAAATTTAATAGAACTTGAACGGACACAAAGATCTCTCCTCAAAGTAATATTATATCTTCCATTTAGACATCCAACTACTGCACTATTCAAAACGGCAAACGTACTTTCTGTGCGTCAACTATATATCTATAATTGTATTAAAAAATACCATAAACTTGCGGTACCATATCTTCCCTCCACTGGAAAAAGACGAGAACGTTTCACAGTTGAGCGAGTGAGATGTAAGATTGCTCGACAGCACTATCAATTCCAGGCACCAAGACTTTACAATTACTTTAGTGTAAATAATAAAGTTAATAACCTGTCTATATACCAACTAAAATCCAAAGTTTTATTATGGTTGCGTAAGTTGACATACAACGAGACGGAAAATCTGTTAATAAATACTCAATAGTTCGAGTCATTTCTTATAATTTCATTCATTCATAAATTCATTTCATTTTTTATAACATTTAATTCCGCTACCATGTTGATGGGGGGGAGGGGGGTATTATGCCTCCTGTCCTGCCACCTGCACTCACCAGACGAAACGCGGAAGCTGAGCTTTCACTTCACGCCGGTATTCTGTGACGTCGTGGCTTTGAGCCGGCTTGAGCCGACCCATACGTGCAACAGCCAAGCTGCCGCGGCTCTACCACTATTAGATATTATAGTCAACCAAATCTAAGAAATACCTTTTGACAGCTGTCAGATTTATTGCACCAAGCATGCCAACCAAAAAATGAGAACGCATAATAATCGATTCTTAAAAAAATCGATATCGATTATTTAGAGTTGGTAATCATTCACAGTTAGGTTTAAATAATACCGGAATGAATTAGAAACGTATAATTTAAAATAAAAGATTTATCATTTTCTTCGTATTTGTTGTAACTGCTTATTTCTAGAGGAAAAGGTCATAAAAAATTAAGATTGAAACTAGATTAAAAATAAATTTATTCAATCACTTTCACTACTACTAATTGAGTTGTCGTTGTTAAGATTAATTATTATTTGATTTTCAATAATGCAATCATAATTAATGTCTCTTTTAAAGTCATCCATAATCATGTTTTTTGTTTTTTCTACCACTTTTGCCCAATCATCCTTTGTGACATGGGTACATGCTTCCTTCCATCTTCTTCGTAGTGAAAGGTGGCTTGGTGTTATGTCATGCTACGTAGCCTGTAAGAAAAACATAAGATATTTTAATTTTGTGTGTGTTTAAGTAAAGTTAATATGTTTTCACTTTTCATATAAAAACTAGCCTTTGATTTGGGCCCAAATCAATTCAAAAGCATTATATTGGCAGAGGTATGGTGATAATCTTATAACTTTATGCCCGTGCTCTTCTAATGCTAATTTATCAATAACATATAAAGGTTTACGTGGTTTATTTTGCTTTACTATTTGTATTAGCTCAGCTTTTAATAACTTCATGTCCGCTTCCACACCTTTGTGTTGCAGCCATGCTATTAAATCTGCTTTCTTATTCGCTTGGGTTGGGGCTTTGTCGATTTGGACAGAATGGTACGGGGCGTTGTCCATTACTATGCTGCTATTTGCAGGAATATTTCGTAAAAGGGTTATAAACCACTCTTTGAATTTTTCTGCATCCATTTCCTCATGGTAATCTCTTGTACTCTTTGATTGGAAGGCTAATAAACAATTTTGTACAAATCCTCCTCCGGCTGATCCCGCATGGCAAACTATGAGGCACCCACCTTTCCCCGCGGGCACCTTCGAGCAAGTTGCTGTATTGTTATCTGTCCATATTTGCGCTACAGTGTGGTTGGTGTTTAACCACGTTTCATCAAGAAATATGACGTTGTCCCAATCGTTTATATTTTTCATTTCTTTTAAAAACGTTATTCTTTGTAGGACTATGTCATGTCTCTCCATAATTATTTTACGTTTGTCAAGTTTTTTATATCGAAAGCCTATGCGTTTTAAAATGGTTCTCAACGACTCTACTCTACCACTGTACAAACCGGCATCTATTAAATTACTTGCAACTTCGCCACAGTAGGATATTAGCCTCTTATGAAATAGCCGTAGACATGTTTTCTAATTGCACCTGCGTCGAATTGATCGATACCTGTTACTGATTTGTTCTTTGTTCGTTTTTTCAGCGTGTGAAGTAAATTATTCTCACTGACTAAAGGTCCCTACTTTCAGTTACGATCTTTGCAACGGTGCGTTTGCCAATCCCGAGTGCTTCACCGACACGATCCAGCACTTATGTCACTGGTAAAAGAGGCCCACCGTTTTGTGACTCACGTTCAAAATATTCGTGTAATTTCACCACCATTGCACGAGCTTGACGGTTTAAAGTACGACTACCACAACTACGTTTTCTTTTCGACATTATGATCACTTGCTTAGTCAGAGTTCAGTATATAAATTGCCAAGGTCAACGAATATAGAAGAAACAGTCCAAAAAATTGCGGACAGTAAACTCCCAAAATGGCGGGAATGTTGACAAATTAAAAAAATAAACTTGTTTTATTTATGATTCATGTAATTGGAATTTTAAAAATAAAATAAAATAAAACGAATAATACATTCAAGAAAATTAATAATTCCATTATTTGAATATTTTTACCGATTATTTGAATATTTTTGCCGATTATTATTCGCATAACAATGAATTTTAAACATCCAAGCACTACGGTGATCTACATAGCGACATATCATTGATATGACGTCAAGTAAAAAAAAGTTGATACTGGTTATTTTTTAATATTTTGCTTTGTTTGAAAAAATTTAAATTTAAATTAGTGATAAAAAACTATAAACGTTGTAAAGAAATATAGATAACTTCATAATTCTTTGGATTTATGTAAAGGGTTATTTTTAATCGTGTGAGTACGCTTGTGCAAAGTTATTGCGGAATGATTAATGTGAAACGTCAAAAGGTATTTCTTAGATTTGGTTGACTATAATCATAGAACTTGTAATTAGTATTATAAGAATATACCACTATCCCATATCGTTCCGTGGGTGGCGTAAGAGGTGATAAATCTTATATACTAGAGAGAGGCAATTGAGGGAAACTAAAAATAGAGATGGTCGGCAGCACCTTTCTAATAACAACTCAAAATAATGAAAAACTACGGTTGCCAACGGCTTGACATGCGTGCCGCGCTTGGCAGGCACAATGGCAAAATTCTCTATACGGCAATCTATGGGAGGACTATGCTCAGCAGTGGACTAATATAGGCTGGTTGGATGCATGAATGGATGGATGAATTTATTAATGATTGACTCAACTATGCAAATAAAAGTATATTTACTTTTCAGATAAGCTTAGGTCTTCCCTTAAAACCCAATTTACAAGAGGCTATATCAAAAATAAAAGCAGCAGCAGGAGAAGCTATTGATGTGTTACTAGGAAAGGATAACTTTGTTGCTTTGGGAGCTGGTAATTATTTATACTACTTATAAAATAATAACCGTGTTGCGGTAGTGTAATAATTTTCAATACCCCATGTCGTTGCTACCGTGAAAGTCGTAAGAAGCGACAGAGGAAAACCGAAACAGGAGGTGGTCACACAACGTTTTTGTGATAACAACTAAAAATTATAAAAACTTCAGTTTTTATGACCCTTTGAGTTAATCTATAGGGAAGGCCTGTGGATCGAAAAATAACCGGGTAGTGGCAATTAGATTTATTTTAAGACTGTTAGAACATAGACGAAATTGAAAATGATCAGACAATTATAAATCTGACCCAGTTAGCAGAAACTTGTAACAACTTTTTATATACCTTACAAATAAGATATTGTCAAGCTCCGTTAATTGTAGAAAAAATTGGCTCTTAAAATTGTAGAACGTTAGTTCTAGTTTTTTTTTTGAAGTCATTATTCGAAACTGTAATGATAAACTTTGTGCATACATTAAGTAACACTAAGCTAAGCTACTATACCCCTGAGCGAGTCTAAAGTTTTTAGTCAAACGTTTTTGGAACACTTTCATTGTACGTACATTAAGAAGTGGAATTCTTTAAGTCAAGAACGGATAGGCAATCGCGCTTCACATCGTCAACCACATCATCACTTACGATCAAGTGGTCAAAGGCGAGCCTATGTGTAACATACTAAGTATCGATTAAAAATCTTAAATCAACTCAAAGCTTCTCTGTATACTATATAATACTAGCAAATATTTGCAAGTAGGACTTTTGCAGACGGAATACTATGTGAACATTTAAATTATTTAAGAAATCGTCATTTCATTAAGAATATCAACTACCCCATACCGTCCCGTGAGTGCCGTAAGTGTCGACAGAGGTGGAAAACCCAAGAACTGTACAGCAGTCTCTTAACTAATAATATCTGGACTATAAAAAATGCCTGCCGACCCCAGGCGTGACTACAATGGCAAATAACTCCCTTGTCACTATGTATGGGGATGCCAACAATGATAGGCCGCAATAATTGAATGAATGTTTACTTTATAAGCAAATCTTCTTCATCATCATCAGCCCGTGAAAATTCACTGCTGAATATGGGTGGGGGGGATATTCGCTATAGTTGGCACGCTTAGCAAGTGGGTTGGCAACCGAAGATTTATTTTTATTTTCAGTCGATATCAGGAATACGCTGCTGCCCATCTCCTGATTTGTTTCCTTCTCCCGCCTCTTACGCCACCCACAGGATAGTACGGACTGGTGGAGTGATGGTTTCTTGCACCGCCACTACACGGTAATCTAAATTACTAAAATTAACGCACTTAATAACAGTTACAGTTACAGCCTATAGCCCACTTCTGGGCACAGGCCTTCTCTCATTTCTGAGAGGGTTTTGAGAGCAAAGAATAGTCCGCCGCGCTGCCCCAAATTCGAAATATTTTTTTTTCTTATTTCTCAGGCATGCAGGTTACCTCACGATATTTTCCTTCACCACCGAGCACGTGGTAAATCAACACTTAAAATTGCAATTAACAATTTCATTGGTGCCGGCGGGGATCGAACCCGGTTTGCTCGCGTATTGTGGAATTTACAGCGAGCGCTAACCATCTGAGCTACCACGGCTCGCACTTAATAAACGCCACATTAATAAATCCTACCCAGATGAAGCCACATCAGTTCACTAGTTTACTATAAGTTTTAACAGCTGATAAAAAATTACAGGTCCATTCCTCAAGGAATTTTTTCGATCAGACCTCAATTGTCTTAGCTGGAAATGAAACTCAGAGGCTAAGGATCTACTCAGCTCACGACGTTAGCGTCTATTCCTGGATGGCAGTGTCTCGAGTGAGACCGAAACAAGGAGTGCCACCGTACAATGCAGTTTTCGCTCTGGAATTAAGGAGAGTGGTTAAAACTGGGCAATTTGTTGTTTTGGTATGTTTGCATTTAGTGACTGTCATGGTTCCATTACAGCCAATAAAAGTTCACTGTTGAACATAGACCTCCCCCGTATATCGTCTCATAAGGGAAATTTTGCCATATCTGCCACGGTTGGCAATCATGTTAGAACCGCAGTTTTCTATAATTTTGAGTTGTTATCAGGAAGATGCTGTTGCTCATCTCCTGGTTCAGATTCCTTCTGTCGCCTCTTACGGCACTCACAAGACGATATTGCATAGTGGATATTCTTACACCACCACTACAAGTCTTCACTATTATCGTTAATTATTCGAAATTAAAAAATAGTATATCAATTCGATTGTACATTATTTTTTTAATGTATGTTATGCGATGTCTCAAAATAAGTAGCTAACAACTTGTTACGTGGTAGAGCCAAGCTGCAGCTATAAAATGGTTATAGAACGAATGTGTCGGCTCAACCGGGGAAGTACCACGCTCTCACAGAATACCAACGTCAAATAGCAGCTTAAGACTGCTATATCTCGAATGATGAGTGTAGAGAACCGGAGACCCGTTTTACTGAGATCGAGGAATTCCATCTTAGTTCTTAGGGGTAACAACGCATCAGCATTTTGATTCTTAATCGAGGTTAAGTGTAGATGTCTATGCACCACAGCATCCACTTACCATCAGGTGGACTGTGTGCTCGTTTGTCACCCTTATTCTATAAAAAAAGCTTTATTATGGTTTTAGCATAAATACGTCGGCTTGACTGGGTAAGAACTACGGATACAACACATAGAATACCAGCGTAAAATAGCGTCTTAATTCTGCTGTTTCGTATGGTGAGTGTAGAGAACCGGAGAACCCGTTTTATTGGAAACAAGGCATTTCATCTTACTTCTCAGCGGTGACAACGTTTCTAAATTTTGATTCTTGAGTGAGGATATATATACCATCAGATGGATTGTGTGTTTGTTTATCACCCTTACTCGAAATAAGAACCTACCAAGACTCTCAGGCAGAAAACGTTATTTTCTAGATTGTAGGACTTCTTTTCTACCTTGAGTTCCGTGTAAGTATATGCCACCCTCTTACCTACCTCTGCCGCTAAGTAGCAGTACGCGCACAGTTGTGTCCAGTCTGAAGCTCATAGAGTATACTTAGTATACTTAGTACTTAGAGGTGAGAATCGAGATTGTTCGACCTTCTTTATTTCAAGTTGATTGCGAAACGCACTGAAGCCTAAATCGCGCTATCAACTTTCCGAAGTGTATTCAGTATACATAGAATAGCTTCAAACTACCTCACGGAGCGTGAGCGTCCCCGAGTTGAGCACCTTGCTCCGTTGATCTCTGCCTTTTGCTTTCCATAGCAAAACGTTTATATCTTTAGTTTATTAAAAATATTATTGCCGGTCAAAAATAAAATTTTAATACTTACAATTCCATGTTAGCGTACGTCCTTCTATTTCGTTACCCAATTCTTCCTTATACTTTTTCACTGATTCGTTCAGGGTACAGAAAATGAATTATTTCTACATAGGTAGATTAATGTAATGTTCAATTTACAGCCAGTATACGTCAGTTCACCTGGAGAAGCGATACAATACTTAAAAATAGAAGGTTGCGGTTCAGAACTGTGTGATGTAGACCAATTCAGAAAAATCACTGCACCGTATACTCTTGACGTGAAGGAATGGAGAATAAAGTGTAATTTCGACGAATATATTGAAATTGATGAATCAATTATATAACAATAAATTGTAAATAAACAATGAATGTATTATACGAATGTAATTATAATTATGCGACAAGACAATTGCAAAGGACTTAACTATATTTTTTTTTAATTTAACATAAGACAGTAATGTATTCTCTAAGGTGGTAGCTATATTTCTATATCTGTAACAAGTAAAAATATGATTTAAAAAATATTTTTTTTATAGAAGAGGGGGCAAACGAGCATGCGGCTCACCTGATGTTATATGTAAATTTTAAAAATTGCTGAAAATCAACTAGCTAAATTAAATTACATCATAAATCTTTAAAAATGAAATACTTTTTAAAGTTTTCTTTCAGTGGTGATGCAAATGAGTTCTAGATCACCTGCAGATGTCGGTAAATTGTCGTCCTACAATGCAGAGCCATTCTGCAGCTACTATGCTTGCGGTATGACTGTATAATGAGTCGGATTTTCCAGGGCAGGATCACGGTTTGAGAGAATAGCAGCGTAAAATAGCAGCTTGATACTGCTGTGATTCATGTACTAAATGTAGAGAACCGGAGATCCTTGTACCTAGAAATGAGGCATTCTATCTTCATCCTCAGGGATGACGTTGGATAAATGTAGAGGTCTATAGGCTTTAGCACCCACTTACCTTCAGTTGGACTGCGTCTTTTTTTGTCAATCATATTCAATAAGGAAGAAACAAAACACCATATCAAAAAAAAATAGTGGGCCCACAGTTGAATGATGATTATGGTAATATGAATAACAGATATAACTTAGTAACATAAGAAAAGTTTTCGGTTCTCTACACTCACCATTTAAAACACAGCAGCATTAAGCTGCTATGTCACGTTAGTGTTTTTTGAGAGCATCGTTAAGCCGAGTGTGAAAAGTTTAGAATTTCATAACCTTGAGATCAAACTTGCCTAACGATCCTACAGCCTTAGAATTTGATAGACTCTATAACACTGACCTCTATATATACAAGGAACTACTCTGTTATACAGACCTATTTCAAAAGTGACTTGTAAATTTTACCAATCATCCATCCACCACACGTCTATAAAAATCTACTTTTGAACATTGGTCTCCCCTTATATTGTCTTATAGGTTGGATATTTGCCATAGCCATAGTTGCCACGCTTGGCAGGTGGATTAGTTACCGAAGCTTTTTTATTTTCTAGTCATTATTACACGAAGACGTTGCTATCGATCTTCTGTTCTATTTTCCTCTATTGACTTTTACGACACCCACGGGACAATATAGGGAGTGGATATTTTTACACCAACACTACACGGTTTCATTTCACATTTAATTATTAATTAATTCATTAGAGCCACGATAATTTACTTCGGAAAGAGATCAGGCACGGGACCAACAGCTTGAGGTCTTTCCGCGGTTTGGAGTTAAAACACCCAGAAAACTGATTTTCTTTGACCCGACCCAGGAATTGAACTCGGAATGTCATGATCAGCAGCCATGTTACAACCACTGAACGAACGAGGTAATCTAAAAACTATACTACACGTATATACGTGCTTACGTGGTAAACTACGCTGCAGCTATATTATAGGTTCAGTGGCTCGACCGGGGAAGGACCACTTGTTAATGTAATATTTTTACATTGCAGAGCCATTTTGCAGCTACTATGGTGCAGCATGGTTATATAATGGTTCGGCTCAGCCGGGACAGGACCACGCTCTGACAGAATAACAGCGTAAAATTTTCATCGTAGTCCTCAGGGATGACCACGTATCTGCATCTTGATTCTTAATTGAGGATAAATGTACATGTGTATTGGCCACAGAATCCACTTACCATCAGGTGGATTGTTTGCTCTTTCGTCATCTCCATTCTACAAAAAAATTCCAAGAGTAAAAACGAAAATTGAATTGCTCCTTATATTATTCCGCAAAGCAGGGATTTAACAAAATGAGGAACAATGTATCGTATGCACCATATTACTTTGTTGCACTCATTATACGGCAAGCTTAGCATTAAACGAACGTCAGTACTCATTAATGTGTCTCTAAACACATATTAACTCCAAGGAATGGGCATATTGTAACAGCAACTTAATCCTTGCATACACCTTAAGGTGTATGTGTGGCAAAGTGTTTATGGTCATAGGATGTCTGTGTGGTTTATGTGTTTATTAAATAAAAAAAAATACAAAAATAAACAAAGAGTAGTTTCATTACATTCATGAAATACTGTTCTTTATGAATTCAGTGCTGAACAAAGGCCGCCCCAAAAACCCCACAAAGCACGGTCCTGAGCCACCTGCATTCGTCGTCACTCCATCTACAACAGGAATTAAATGTACCAGAAATGAATTTGAAGGTCAATATATATATATATATATATATATATATATATATATATATATATATAATATGTCTTCTCTTTATAATGGTCGCATGGCAGCATGTTATAATACATAAAATAGCTCACGATGATGTGCCACAATTTATCTAAAACAACTGTAGAATTACCATGTTTTATGCTAATGAAGATTATTATGATATTATTTTTTCCTGAAATAGCTGCTTAAAGCTTACTTTGTTGCCTAAATAAACCCCTCAACACATGTATAGTCGAATCAAAAATGTTATAACATTAGAGAGATGTTTCGCGGGCATCAGCGTGATTTCCTCAGGGACTGTCCAAATGGCAGACGCCGCGGTTCGTCTATCAACACGTCAATGTCAACTGTATCATTTATCTCCGCAGATTTATAATACTTCGTTTATCTGTGACATTCACAGATAATATATTACTATGGCAGTCGGCACAAATAATTATTTGTCTGCACTACTAAGCCGCAAGATTACATCAGTCTTTCTTTTCTACGTATTAGGGTCGTGCTGGATTCTTTTAACATCTCTTCTTCGTCTTTCTCTCTTTATTCAGAAAAGTTCAGGCCTCCCCCATAAATTGAACATCCTCCTTATAAGAGGATTCTGCCAGTTTTACGCTTGACTGGCTGCAAAACCACAGTATTGTGTTATTTTCGGATGTTATTAGAAAGATGCAACTGCCAATCTTCTCCTTCTGTCGCCACGAGATATAGGGTAATGAATATTCTAAAGTTAGCTACACATGCTGTGCATGTCCTCTCTTTGAATAATTTATATTCAGCATAGATTTAAATAGTGGCTAAGGTCGCGAAAGAGATCGCTATTTAGCGATAAGGCCACTTAATTGTGCATAAATTTATAAATTTAACTTTGTTGTGTATTGTAATATTTTTTGTGCAATAAAGAGCATAATTAATTAATCAATTAAGATCAGACCCGCCTTCTAACTGTTTCATCTAAATAATCTAATCACTTTTTCCACACAACTCATCTGCATTTTGATTCTTAATCGAGGATAAATGTAGAAGTTTATGGGCCACATCATCCACTTACCATCAGGTGCACTGTGTGCATTGACTTATATATTACTAGCGTAAGGACCGGGCCGACCGAACAACTAAAACGGACCAATGCGTTGGCCCTAAAATTACAGTTTAGGGCCAACGCGAATCGGTCGACAGTGGTGCGCGCGCAGGACAGATTTGTCTGTCACAAATATGTCTAGTTGCGTGGTACAATAATGCAAAAATTACGATACAAAGATAAAAAACATGGGATATCGTATCATCGGTAAATAACCTTATATTAATTTTGTTACAATTAAATTATTATATAAACACATTTTTAAAGTTTTATTTCGCAGTTAGTTTAGTTATGTTACCAAGATTAGGCCAGGGTTGGATTCAGACCCTCAAAAATATTGTACATGCCAAATAAAATTATAGTATTTAAAAAAATTATATCACGTTTGATGTTTCATGTTTCTTTTTTTCAATGTGCCGGGATTTTGGCGTCACGCGCGTCTAGTTTATCAATACGTTTGGTTTTTTGACGGTTTTATTTTTATTTCTGTTTAATTTTTGTCTAAAGAATTTAGTGTAAGTTATATTTTGAATATTGGTACCTAGTATATTTTAAGTGTAAAATTAAAAGAGTACAAAAGAAAAGGATCAATCGAGCATCGATAGACCAGAAAGACCGGAGCTAATTCTAATTTTATTAAAAAAACGTGGTACTCATGTACAATACAGAAATTCTCGATATCGTAGGGTTACTATTAAAATGTAAAAGGACCCAATAAATTATTATTTTAACTAATACATAATTTTACCTAAAGGTGGACTTGTTAATACAAGTCGACCTTTAGGTAAAATTATGGTATTTTCACTTAGTATTATTACGATACTATGTACTACAAACTATGAAATAATATAATAAAAAAATAATATACAATAAGGATAATAATTATACTACGAAATCCGACCCTGGTTACGTCGTGTTTTGATATGACGTTTGTATTATGACAGATGCGCTACTTTTTCTTGTATGAAAAAGCTATGAGTAAAATATTTAGATGGGCCTATCCTTCCTTTTGAAATCTTTGACTATGTGCTCGTTTGTCAACCTTATTGTATAAAAACACACTTTTCAGTCAAGTCTCGACACATTTCTTGACAAGGAAAGCTTACATATCCGTAAAAATCCGACTAGGAGCGGCGATCTGTAAACCTCATCAGTGTCCTTGTGGTATTCAAGGTCGTTTTCGATTTTGGGCTCCACGGACATTTATGTAAAAAAAAAAAAAAATTTTGATTAAAGTACCACACAAATACAGGTAGACATCGACATTCTATTGTAGAATTATATTCTCACAGTCTACAGACAGCTGACAGATGAAGTCAAGTTTTGTTCAGTGTCTTATTTTAGCCGACTGCCTCAGAAGTATCTTAATGTTTTTTTAGTATGTAAGTTTGTATGTATACATGTATGCGTTAAAGAATTTATAATTTTTTTTAAAGAATAAGGGTGACAAATGAGCACACAGTCCACCTATAGTCCACCAGGTAAGTGGATACTGTGGCCTATAGACATTTACATTTATCCTCGATTAAGTATCAAAACGCAGATGCGTTGTCACCCCTGACGACTAACACTACACTCACC